CTTGATGGGGCGACGTGGAATGAAAAAGTTTTTTTAGGAGTCGCGGCAGTAGAGGCGGCGCAACTATAACGACATGTGAATAATCCCGCCCACTCTAAAGCGGTACTAAACTGCAGTGGAAACGCAAACCGAGCCGTGCCGTACTGAGCCGTACCGAGCCGAGTCGTACCACGCAGTGGAAAAGCGCCATTAGCAACTACATAGAAACACACTAACAACCACTCAGATGTTGAGCAACCACACAGCAACACACTAACAACCACTCAGACCTTTAGCAACCACATAGAACACTGTAGAAACTACAAAGCAAGAGGGGTCCTGTCACAGGACATTCTAAAAGGCATTCACAAATCACACAGAACGTGCAACCCCTAGCAACTAAATCACAGCATCCAAACGACCGCTCAGACCCTTAGCAACTACATAGCAATACATTAATAACTGTTCAGACCCTTAGCAACTACAAAGCAACACATTAACAACCATATAGACCCTTGGCAACTATATAGCAGCACATTAACAACCACTTAGACTCTTAGCAACCAAATAGCTGCACACTAACAACCACTCAGACACTTGGCAACCCCTAGCAACCAAATAGCAGCACACTAACAACCAATCAGACCCTTGGCAACCCCTAGCAACCAAATAGCAGCACACTTAACAATCACTCAGACTCTTAGCAACCCCTAGCAACTAAATACCAACACCCAAACAACTGCTCAGACCCTTAGAAACTACATAGCAACACATTAATAACCACTCAGACCCTTAGCAACTACAAAGCAACATATTAACAGCCATATAGACCCTTAGCAACTATATAGCAGCACATTAACAACCACTCAGACTCTAAGCAACCAAATAGCAGCACACTAACAACCACTCAGACACTTAGGAACTCTTGGCAGCCCTTAACAACCAAATAGCATCACACTAACAACCACTCAGACCCTTGGCAACCCTTAGCAACCAAATAGCATCACACTAACAACCAAGCAGACTCATAGCAACCCCTAGCAACTAAATACCAACACCCAAACAACTGCTCAGACCCTTAGAAACTACATAGCAACACATTAATAACCACTCAGACCCTTAGCAACTACAAAGCAACACATTAACACACATATCGACCCTTAGCAACTATACCAACACCCAAACAACTGCTCAGACCCTTAGAAACTACATAGCAACACATTAATAACCACTCAGACCCTTAGCAACTACAAAGCAACACATTAACAGCCATATAGACCCTTAGCAACTATATAGCAGCACATTAACAACCACTCAGACTCTAAGCAACCAAATAGCAGCACACTAACAACCACTCAGACACTTAGCAACCCTTGGCAGCCCTTAGCAACCAAATAGCATCACACTAACAACCACTCAGACCCTTAGCAACTACAAAGCAACACATTAACAGCCATATAGACCCTTAGCAACTATATAGCAGCACATTAACAACCACTCAGACTCTAAGCAACCAAATAGCATCACATTAACAACCAAGCAGACTCATAACAACCCCTAGCAACTAAATAGCACCATGCTAACAACCAGTCACACCCTTAGCAACTCAAATAGTAGTACACTAACAACCGCTCAAAATCTTAGCAACACACTGACAAATATTCAGACCTTTAGCAACCACATAGAAGACCCTAGGAGCTGCATAGCTACACACTATCAACTACTCAGACCCTTAGAAACTGCATAGTAATGCCCTGGCAACCACCCAGACTACTGCATGATGCACCACTCACATTTTCTTCATAAGTCTTAATTATTGTAGTTTTGTTGTGTCTGTCATCATATGTGCAACAAGAGATTAGCATGCATAATAATTATTTTGTACCTGTACAAATTAAGGAATTAAGTACCTGATCTACTCCACATTGATTTCAACATAATCATATTCTGTGTCTCAGCGGCTCTAGTGATGGAGGAGCTGAACCCCTACACTAAGATCAGTCCTTCTCTGGGTTCAGAGCGCCAGTCCGCAGGTGCTGTCATGGGCATCATCTTCCTACTGCTGATCATCATGGCCATGCTCAGCTTGTTTGTTTGGTTCAGGCAGAGACAGAGAGACAAAGGCCAGGAAATGCCCAGTGTCTCATACACCCCAGCCCTCCGTGTCACCAACACTGACTACTCCCTCTCTGGTGAGAACCTCCTTTGAGACTAATCATCAAATATTGAATAAGCTGCTATGAACAACTTCAGATTCTCCATGAATGTTTTTACAAGTATTTTGAACGGTGTGTAGCGACATTTTTGTCTGTTCAGTAACTGACAGTAAAAGCAACAGTTTCAGCACTGTATTATGGTTATCACAGTGCTACCACACTTTTCATATACTGATAACCTGATAAGTATTCAATTCATATATTTTAATTATGTGAAAATACGCATATTCATGGTCATTTTTTATGCCAGCTGCATGGGCTAGTTTTGATGATGTGGCTATAAATGGCTTGACCAATTCCATTAAGTATCATGAATTTCGGGCCATTAAACTGCCCTCTTCTACTCTGTTACTGCAGGAACAGGATGTTATGCATTATGCATTATCAGACAGGAGTTTCATAAGCTTGTACACTGTGGTTTGTAGAAGTTATGAACACTTCTGTCTTGCTCTCTCCTTTAGAAACATCTCAGAGCAGCAGCGGTGGCCAGTGCTTCTCCAATCCCAGCTACCACACTGTGGCACAGTGCAACATCTCATCCACCATCACAAACAACCTGGATGGCACTCTCACTCTTAAGGTGAGGACATAATGTAGACACGTTTGCATTACAGCAGGGGTTCGCATCCTACTTCATGATGGTTCGACAGATAAACTATTTTTAAAAAAAAACTTTTCAAGCATCACTTTTATGGCCATAGTAGCTGCTTGTGCTTAGAATATTACATAAAAACATGCTACAACATGACCCCTTTTTTAAGAAATTCATTCTTTTTTTCAACAAGGATGCATTAAATTGATCAAAAGTGACAGTAAATATATCTATAATGCTATAAAGATTTCGGTTTCAAATAAATGCTGTTCTGTTTATCAAAGAATCCTCAAAAAATGTTTGAGTTTCCACAAAGTTATTAAGAAGCACATCTGTTTTCAGCATTGATAATTATGAAAGATATTTCTTTAGCACCAAATTATCATATTAGAATGATCATAATAGAATAATTTCTCAAGGATCATGTGAAAACTGAAGACTGGAATGATAGCTGCTGAAAATTCAGTTTTGCCATCATATGGCAATTTCATTTTAAAATATATTAAAATTGAAAACCGCTATTTCAAATTGTTATAATATTATTAATATTTAACAATTTGATTGTTTTTTTAATCAAATAAATGCAAACTTGGTGAGCATAAAAGACTTTAAAAAACATTAAAAATTCTAACTGAACACAAACCTTTAAACAGTAGTGTACATTAGACAGGATTTGTACCAATAAAGGCTAACCAAACAATGTGTTATAGTTACGACAGTGTCAATAACCATATAATTGACTTATAAAATGTGTTGTTCTTAAAAATATCATTTTCTAGTTAGGAAATCATGCTTGTGAGTAGGGCTGCACGATAAATCGCATGCGATATTTAACGCACATCTTGTCAGAAAGCCGGTTCTGTAATCAGCGGTAAATCTCCATCACCTGCGGGCTTTCACATTGAGCAGCATTAACTACACAGAGCCGTTGTTCACTGACGAGCTGCGCAAAAAATCGCGCGAATATGAACGTGGTTTTGCGC